GCCATTCCGCATTATGCTACAAGGGCTAGCCCCTTATCTTGCCCAGCACCCTGCAATAAATTTATTCTCTTTCCCTATTCCTCATCTAGAGCTAGACTGGTCACCCATCTCAGAATCAGAAAATTGAGGCCCAACATTTAGGCCCAGAACATTCTTGAAGTTGCAGCTTAAGAATCTGGCCTTTGGCTATCTCATCTCTAACCTCTTTTAACAATGTTTGCCCTTCTTTATAGGGAAGCTGTAAGTCTTCAGGCCCTGTTCTTGCTCAGCCTTTCTGTCAGCACAGCCTCAATTCTTGTCATTGGTAGGAGTTTTATGTACATTCCATTATCCTTTTCTCTTTCTTTCTTTCTTTTGGGTGCAGGTGCAGGGGCTTGAACTCAAGGTCTGAACACTCTCCCTTTGCATTTTTGCTCAAGGCTGCTGTTCTATCAGGTACCACAGTTCCACTTCTAGCTTTTTGCTGGCTTATTGGCGATAAAAGTCTCATGGGCTTTCTTGCCCAGAATTAGCTTTGGACCTTGATGCTCAGATCTTAACCTCCTGAATAGCTAGGATTATAGGCTTAAGCCACTGGAGCATGGCTTCACATTTTATCTTTTATCCATAATTCTAGAATCTATAAGGTTCCGGAAACCGACTGCTCCCTCCCCAGTTTGGTACCATTTAAAGTCTACAGAACCATATATAACCTAATTAGTAACAAGTATCCATGGTGTTACTCACTTATTGCAAACATGTATACCTTTCCCTGGGAAAACAATGAACTTTTAACATTCCATACTCTGCTGAGTGTTAAGTAATATACCATATGTAAATTGAGCAAGCTTTCTAATACTCAGAATATTCAGTCTTTGGGAAATTTACCTGCCCTTACTCCTCTCCAGTCTTGAGCTTAAACATGACCTCAGCATTTGGCTAAGGAAACTGAGTCACTCCCTTCCAAATCCAGATTCATGTGCTTCTGAATGGAGCCAGTGCACACAAATCTCAAAAGGCAAAAGGTCCCGATATTCCTGCGGCTGGTACCAGGGAATGCCAAGTGTTTCCAAGATGGGGCACCCCGGGGGTTGTTCCCTCGGCCAGGACAGTCATCGGCGGGGCGGGGCAAGGGGGCTTCCGGGGCGGCAGCCACCTGGCCCGGCCCCCTCCGGCCCCGCCCGCTTCGCCTCGCCGCGGTGATTCACTCCCTCCTTCGCCCTGGGGGCCCCCTTCCCGGCCAGACGGCGGGTAAGACGGCTGGGTGTGCAGCGTCCTCGAACCCACGAGCCAACGAGCAGTTCCTCTGCGCTCCTAGGGACACTAGTCCACACCATGGCGGATTCCGAGCGCTACTCGGCCCCTGGCTGCTGGACAGCCTGCACCAACTACTGGCGTACACGAAAGGGACTTCTTCTGTTCGCTGAGATTGTGAGCTTTCCGGGGCAAGCTGCCGGGGTGGGCAAAGGCTGGGCGGGGTGGCTGGACCACGCGGTACTGGACGATCAGTGTGAAGCAGCCACGTGGCCAGAGCGTTCAGCAGTGGGGCACAGGTTGGGTGGGTTCGTGGAGGAGACTCGAGACTAGGGGTGCAGGGGGAATCGGTGTATTTTTTTTTTCTGGAGAAGGGGAATGGTGGTCGGAAGCTGGTGGCACACGTGAAGTGATCTGCCTATAACTTATGCAGGGAACTTGGTGAGGGGAAAGCCCAAGTGGCCTCACTAGTGAATTTAGCAAAGGGGCTCTCCTGGAGGGCTGGGAAGTCGGGGGGCCTCCCGTGGCAGGGCGTGGCACGGCCTGAGCACTGGCGAGCGGGCTGGCTGCGTGCCCGTGGGTGGGGCCTGTTGGGGTGGGGCCGCGAGTGCTAGTTCCCCCCCTCAGGGTGGGGTGCCCCACCCATTGCCAGTTCTTCCTCGTCCTTTTGGAACCGTGGGGGCGGTCCTTAGCTCTTTGAGTGGCTAGGGAACCTAGGTTTCCCGCCCTCCTCAAAGTGGGCGCTGCCCTTGACTCACTTGGAAAAGGGGTGCGGCGCCTTTAACGGAGCCTTGTCCCTCCAGTGTCTGTCTCACCGCTCCCCAAGGGGGTTGCCGAGGGAACCGCACGTCCCGCCCCCTCAAGGCCTGGGAGCTGGCGCCAGCGGTGTTCACAAAACACCTGGCAGAGCCACCCCCTCGGGCTGCTCATATCATGGAAGGGAAAAGGGAGCTGCAGGCCCTCAGCTCTGTTCCTTACCTGAGTGACCCTGGACAAGCCACTTAACCTCTCTGTGACTCACTTTTCACATCTGTAAAATAGACACACTAATAACAGTATCTTTCTCATTAAGTGGCAGTGCCTGTGAATGAATACTTATAAAGTTCTTAGGAGAATGCTTGGAGCACTGTGAACGCACAAAAAGTGTTTAGCAATCATGGTGTGTCATTTTCTCAGTCCTGGCAGACATTTGAAAAGTGGATTTTTTTGTCCCCTGTGCTGGAGATAGAATCCAAGGCCTTATGCATACGAGGTAAATGCTCTATCACTGAGCTTCAGCCCCAGCTTTGGAAAGTGGGTTTCATTTTTTTTCCTTGTAGACATTTGAGTTTCAAACCCTAGCTTCCTTTTCCCCAATTACATCACCCCAGGGAGCTAAGTCCCTCTCCTCTCATGTCTTCCTTGTAGTTATTCTGCCTGGTGATTCTGATTTGCTTCAGTGCCTCTACATCAGCATATTCCTCCCTGTCGGTGATTGAGATGATCATTGCTGCTGTCCTGTTTGTCATCTATATGTGTGACTGGCACACCAAGATACCATTCATCAACTGGCCCTGGAGTGTGAGAAGGGGACCAACAGTGGCTAGGCTGGGCAGGGGCCTGGGCCATTGGGATTATGTGGGAGAACTCTGAGTGCTGACAAAAATCCTCTTTTCCTTCCTGTACCTTATAGGATTTCTTCCGAGCCCTCATAGCTGCCATCCTCTACCTGATCACCTCCATTGTGGTCCTTGTTGAGAGGGGAGGCCATTCCAAAATCGCTGCTGGGGTAATATGGATGGGGGCGGGGGAGGCATCTCTAAAGCGCAGGGAGGAATGTTTGAGGATCCTGAATTATTTCTGCCTCTGCTTCTATAGAAACTGTGACCCACAGCAAACCAACTTTTCTCTCAAGGCCTGCAGCAAAAGTCTGACTTCAGCCATCATTTATCTCCCAAGATCATTTGTGATAAAATGCTCTCCCTTGTCAGACTAGGAGACTTATGTGGGAAGCACAAACAGGTGGCCCTTTGTCAACATGTTAGGCTACCATCTGCTAGAACATTGTCTGAGTTGTGCCCCCTATGTGTCAGGCACCGTGTGGCTGTCCTTTGTTGAGAGGTACTAGGGAGAGGGGAGAATGAAGCCTCCTGGACTTTCCTTGGGACTCTCTGGCTTTTTAGCCTGGGGCTGTAGCTCCTATCCTGTGTAGGTCCACCATTTAATCCATTCATTCCCATCACCTGCCAGGTACTGGGCCTAATGGCTACTATACTTTTTGGATATGATGCCTACTTCACCTTCCCTCTTCGGCAGCAAAGACACACAGCAGCCCCTACGGGTAAGTGTGTGTGTGTGTGTGTGTGTGTGTGTGTGTGTGTGTGTGTGTGTGTATTGCTGAGGGAAAAGGAAAGGGATCTGTGAATAAGGAGCATGAACACCAACTTTGGCCTTTATTGGCATTTCTGTTGCTTGTGCCTATAACTATCATAAGTATCAGCAGTCTTGCTGGGGGTCGTGGCTCATGCCAGTCCCCAAGCTGAGACTTGGAGGATGGAGGTTCAAAGCCAGCCTAGACAGCCCGGCTCTTGTAGCTCACGCCTGTAATCCTAGCTACTCAGGGGGTTGTGATCTAAAGATCGTGGTTCAAAGCCATCCCCAGCAAGAAAAGTCCATGAGACTCTTATCTCGAATAAACCACTCAGAAAACTGGAAGTGGGCTGGGTGCTGCAGGCTCATGCCTGTAATCCTAGCTACTCAGGAGGCTGAGATCTGAGGATCGCAGTTCAAAGCCAGCCCAGGCAGGAAACTCCTTGAGACTCTTATCTCCAATAAACCACTAGAAAATCAGAAGTGGCGCTGTGGCTCAAGCGGTAGAGCACTGCCTTGAGCTGAAGAGCTGAAGGACAGTGCCCAGGCCCAGAGTTCAGGCCCTACAGCAACTAAAAAAAAGCCAGCCTAGGCAGAAAAGTTGGAGAGGTTTCATTTGTAATTAACTAGCAAAAAATGCCATACCAGAGATATGACTCAAGTGGTAGAGTGCCAGCCTTGAGCAAGAAAGCAGTGAGAGCTCAAGACCCTCAGTCCCAGCACTGGCACAAAAGTAAGTATTAGCATTTCTGTGAGTAAAATGGACACATGAAACTAACTAATGCTTTCTTTTCCTCCTGCAGACCCCACAGATGGTCCCGTGTAGGTGAACTTCACTCACTGCGCTCTGAAAATCACTCCTCTATGGCAAAAACTCCTCTCATTCCCCACAACACTTCCAGCCAAGCAACTCTCCAGCCCCCTGTTATGGTAAAAGTGCCTTTATTGGGAGGATTTTGTCTACCAATCTGTCAATCAACCCTCCTGGGTGTAATCACTTTTATGTGCATGCCCAAGCCCCCTCCCTTCTGCCAGTATCCAGAAGGAAACACCAGTTCTGCCCACTTAAGCTACAAAATGAGGGAGGTGGGTATCTCTGATTTCTGAGTGACCCACTTCAAATAACCTCAGTGTGAGAGATGGGCTGTAGAGGGGCAAATAAATAATAAATGATTGTTAAAATATGTCATGAATAACAATCCTTCTGTTAAATTTGGATAAATCTCATGCCTCAAAGGTGTGTGTGGTGGGGGGAGTAGCTGTGTGTCATGCCTGTATTCCTAGCTAATCAGGTAGCTGAGAGCTGAGGATTGCAGTTTGAAGCTAGCCTGGGCAGGAAAGTCCCATGATTCCTATGTCCAATTAACCAGCAACAAAGCTGGAAATTGAGCTGTGGCTCAAGTGGTAGAATGCCACCCTTGAGCACAAAAAGCTAAGGAACAGTGCCTTGCCACTGAGTTTAAGCTCCTGTGCCTGCAAATTAAAGGGAGGGGAGTAGAGGTGGCAGGAAAGGGGGAGGTAGGATGGCATTTATGACTTAGTCATCATCTATGCTGACTGGAGAATGGAGCTTCCTCCAGGATTGACTGCATTCAGGCAACAATGCAGTTCTTGTCTCTGGCCTGGCGAATCATCCCTGGGCCAGAATCTCCTGAGAGTGGTGGGGCTGGGGAGTTGAAGGTGCCAGCCGCAGTGTCTTGAGTAGCCTTGGGCCTGCACAGGTGTGGGGGCAGTGGGATGCGTTCCCCTAGGAAGAGACCATCATCCTCAGAGGATTCGGAACTGGGGCTGGAGGGCGAGCTAGAGCAAGATCCCGAGTCTGATCCTGATCCCAAATCACATCGACGACGATGGCGACGTCTGCTTGGATGGTGGTGGTGGTGATGATGGTGGCGGTGGTGGCGGTGATGTCGGGTGGGAGCCCTGGGTGGGGGACTACGTGGCCTGCGGCGCTGGGCTGGGGGTGCACTCAGGGTCCTCCGTGGACCTCCCTCAGACACCAGAGGATCTCGGAAGCTGACACGCTGTGTGCTTTGACGACCAAAGGTACTATCCTCCGGGCATTGGTCAGGTTGTCCTGGGGTCTCCATCGGTGGTTCTGGAGGGCTTCGAAGCCCCAGCTCAGGCATGGAGTGTCGGTGTGGGGCCCCTCTCAGAAATCTAGGGGGCTCCTCATGGCCTACAGCTGGAATAGGAGAGATGGGGCCATCCCTGTATGTGTCTGATCTGGCCTCTCTCCAGTGGGGAGGCTTCCTCTCCCTTACCCCAATTCCCCAGGAATGGGAAGTGAGGCCAGGGACAGGGATGAGCAGGGAGATAAGGAGCACCAGAAGTTTGAGCCCTGAGTGAAGGTGGGAAGATCACCTAGAGCCAGGCCGGTGGGGCATCCCCAGGGAATAGGGAAGTGGCTTCGCCGGAAGGGGGTGTGGCATATATTTAAATGGAGGCGTGGCCCACTGAGTGGATGTAGAAAGGAGAAACGAGCTCAAGTTGGGACAAGTTGATGAAGGGGCAGGTGGTAGAGGCACTGGGACCTAGGGTTCACAAGGCAGGTTAGGGCTGGAGAGTTGGCCAGGAATGGTGTGGGAAAGGAGGCGTGGCAAGAGTTTGGATCGACAAAAGCTAAACGTTCTGGGTCTAGCTAGTGAAGGGGAAGGGCTGGGCTTGACACTCACCAGGAGTGGCCTCAGTACTGGTGCCTTTGGTAGCGGTCTCTGACGCCCCCTCCTCAACTGGGAAAGAGGCAGTGGACCCAGTGAGCGGTGCGGTGACTGTGCCTGCACTCCAGCTGCGCCGGCCTGATCCTGGAGCAGTGGTCTCTGACCCAAGGCTGCAGGCTCGAGAGCAGAAGATTAGACCACGGCGTGGCAGGAAGGGGCGACCCAGCAGGGCTCGACCACAGCTACTACAGCAGAAGCAGCGATCTGAGGCATGCCAATGCTGGCCCTCATAGGCCATCTGGCCCTGGTCCAAGCCTGTGGGGACCAACACAAGGGAAAATTGAGGCAGAACCCACAAGCATGAACCCACCCATCTTGAAATGGGGCTTTCCTTGGGAATAGTTGAGGAAACTGAGGCAGGGTACTCTGATATGCTACCTCCACCTTCCCGAACAGACTCCTTCTCTGGAGAAAGCTGGAAAATTGAGGTTTGATTTTCATTTCCTGGTTCCCTATCTTCCTTATCACCTGGAATACTGGTTGGTAATGTCTCCCAGCTCCTTTCCTTTCCCAGGGTGCCCCTTCAGGAGTGGGGCTGGGGAGTGGACTCTAACATCTATGCCACACTTAGACATTAAGGAGTGCTTACTTCAAGTAGACGGTAGTAGAAGGCTGGGCCTGAAGAGGCTTGGGGGATGGGGGCAAGGCTTACCCTGTAGAACATGAACTTAGTGGGATAGAAGTAGGGCTTAGAAGGTAGTGTGTTGCTAGACGGTAGGACCTTACCTAGGCTGATGGAGAACAGTGGAAGAGAGACTAGGGCATAGCTCCAAGCCATAGAGGACTGGAATCAGAAGGTGCTGTGCAGGTGGTAGGTATAGGCCTGAAGTGGTTGCCTACTGTTGTGTGAGTGGAACTTAAAAAGTATGGCATAGCCAGGCACGGGTGGCTCACACCTGTAATCCTAGCTACTCAGGAGGCTGAGATCTGAGGATTTTGGTTCAAAACCAGTCCAGGCAGAAAAGTCTCTGTGAGTTTCTTATCTTCAGTTAACCACTCATAAACCAGAAGTGATGCTGTGGCTCAAGTAGTAGAGTGCTAGCCTTGAGCACAAAGAGGCCCAGAGACAGTGCCCAGGCCCTGAGTTCAAGCCCATCAACCGACAAAAAAGTATAGCATGTAGCTGGGCACTGGTGGGTCATGCCTGTAATACTAGTTACTCAGGAGGCTGAGATCAGAGGATCACGACTTGAAGCCAGTCTGGGAAGAAGTCCATGAAATTTTTTTTGTAGGTCATGGGGCTTGAACTCTGGGCCTGGGCGCTGTCCCTCAACTTTTCAGCTTAAGGTAAGCACTCAACCACTTGAGCCACAGTGCTACTTCCAGCTTTCTAGTGGTTTATTGGAGAATAAGAGTCTCATGGACTTTCCTGCCCCGGCTGGCTTTAATTGCAATCCTCAAATCTCAGCCTCCTGAGTAGCTAGGATTACAGGCGTGAGCCACCAGCACCCAGCAAGTCCATGAAATTCTTGTCTCTAACCAGCGAAAAGCCAGAAGTGGGGGTGTGTGAATCAAGGAGTAGAGCATAGCCTTGATCAGTAAAAACCAAGCAAGATTATAGGTCCTGGGTGGGAATGTGGCTTAGTGGTAGAGTGCTTGCCAAGCATGCAGGAAGCCCTGGGTTTGATTCCTCAGTACTACATAAACAGAAAGCCAGACGTAGTGCCAGTTCAAGTGGTAGTGCTAGCCTTGAGTGAAAGAAAGCTCAGGGACAATGCCCAGGCCCTGAGTTCAAGGCCCAGGACTGGCGTACCCATAAAAAAAGACAGTATATGGTAGTTCAATGATAGAGCACCTGCTTATTGTGCTTGAGATGATGGATTTGGTATCTGGTACCAGGGGGAAAAAAGAAAGAGAAAATGAAAGACAGAGAGAGGCATAGCTATGTATGCTTGGGGCCTGTGATACTGGGAATAGGAACTGAGATTTAAAGGATGGGGGTGGGGGGATGGGAGAGGGATGAAGCCTGGAGAACAGGAGGACTCCTGATGGGTGGGGCTGTGGCCCTGCTCATGGACCCCTCTGAGCAGTTCCATGATGTTCACCCACCAATGTGCTCTCCACAGCCATCACAGTACTCAGCATGGCGGGCTTCATAGCAGGCACAGCAGTGGGGCCGGCTTTGACGCATGACATAGCGCTGCCCTCCAAGCGAAGCTTCACACTCGAAACAGCAGAAGTGACCCATGTGCCAATGCCGGCCCTCAGCCTCCGTGCACTCCGGGGAGAAGATGATCTGCAGGGCACAGATCATCTATGACTGTCAGAAGAGCTTGACCCTGCCCCTCCTCCACTCCCACTCTGGCCAGGAAGGCACAAACCTCATCACAGGCTTGGCAGCGAGGGCGCAGGCATTCAGCATGGTGCCGCCCACAGTAGACTTTGCCAGCATGATAGAAGTAGATGAGGTCAACAAGCAGCTCCCGGCACGTAGTGCACACAAAGCACTGTGGGTGCCAACAAGCTCCCAGGCCTGCACGACTGGCAAACACTGCAATGTCCCCACCTCCGATCTGCTTCCCGCACTGCCAAATGATAGACACCATCACTATTACAAAGATGGTTCAATGGATTGGGGTCAGTGTCATACATGGGACTTCCCTGTGATGGATCTTTGTGTGTGTGTGTGTGTGTGTGTGTGCGCGTGTGCATGCACGCGTGCTAATCCTGGGGCTTGAACTCAGGCCCTGACTTCTGTCCCTGAGGTGCTTCTTTTTTATGTCAGTTGTGGGGCTGGAACTCAGGGCCTGGGCACTGTCCCTGAGCTCTTGCTCAAAGCTAGTACTCTACACTTTAAGCCATAGCATCACTTCCAGTTTTCTGGTGGTTAATTGGAGATTAAGTCTCACAGACTGGGCTAACTTTCAAAGGTTATATCAGCCTCCAGAGTAGGATTACAGGTATGAGTCAAGGGTGCCAGCCTCTGTGATAAAGCTTTTTTTCCCTTTGTCGTGGAGCTTGAATTCTGGACTTGGGTGTTGTCCCTGCACTCTTCAGCTCAAGGCTAGCACTCTACCACTTGAGCCACAGCACCATTTCCGGTTTTCTGCTGGTTATTTGGAGAGGAGTCTCAGGGACTTTCCTGCCTGGGCTGGCTTTGAACTGTGATCCTCAGATCTCAGCCTCTTGAGTAGCTAGGATTACAGATGTGAGCCACCGGTGCTGGGCTTTGTGATGAAGCTTTTTGACTAGCTCCACCTACAGGGAAATTCTGATATTCCTACCTGTGTGGAGGTGCTTTAGAGACTGACTCAGTTCATGAGTAGGGGGAAAGCATAGATACAGGACCTGTCATAGAGCAAGCTCCTCTATGGGTTGGAGCAAATATAGAGACAGGCTAAACCCAGTGGGGAGCTGTGAAGATAATTTCCACCTTCAGAATCTTAGCGACAAATTTTACCAAACAGTAAGTTCTAAGGATGAGCCGCAGCCAGTAAAGAAGGCATTGGAGATAAATCTGCCCACTCTCTGTGTGCACATGTGTGTACACATGCATATGCTGGTAATTGGGTTTTAACTCAGGGCCTGGCACTATACTTAGCTCTTTTTGTCAGTTGTGTGGCTTGAATTCAAGGCCTGGGCTCTGCCCCTGAACTTTTCTTTTTTTTGGGGGGGTCTGGTCGTGGGGCCTGAACTCTGGGCCTGGGCACTGTCCCTCAGCTCTTCAGCTCAAGGCTAGCACTCTACCACTTGAGCTACAGTGCCACTTCCGGCTTTTTTTTCTTTTTGCTTATGTGGTGCTGAGGAATCGAACCCAGGGCCTTGAGCATGCAAGGCAAGCGCTCTACCACTGAGCCACCTTCCCAGCCCCTGCCCCTGAACTTTTCTGCTAAAGGCTAGTGCTCTACCACTTGAGTCATAGGCCCACTTCCGATTTTTTTGTGCTTAATTGGAGAAGAGTCTCATGGACTTTCTTGCCCAGGTTAGCTATGAACTGTAGCCTCTTGAGTAGTTAAGACTATAGACGTAAGCCACCAGCATCTGCTTAAATCTGCCCACTCTGGAGGACTCTAGAGACAGGATTTGTCACTATAAGTCAGTTATTTTTTTTTCTTTTTTCTTTTGTGGTGCTGGGGATGGAACCCAGGTCTTCATGTATGCTAAGCAAGCCCTCTGCCACTGAACTATGTCCAGAACTGATCTGTGGGTCAGTTCTTAAGGAAAAGATCTGAACAAGGACTGGGAATACGGCTTAGTGGTAGAGTGCTTGCCTAGCATGCATGAAATCTTGGGTTTGATTCCTCAGTAGCATATAAACAGAAAAAGCCAGAAGTGGTGCTGTGGCTCAAGTGATAGAGTGCTAGCCTTGAGCAAAAGAAGTTTAGGGACAGTGCCAAGGCCCTGAGTTCAAGCCACAGGACTGTCAAAAAAGACCAAAGAAATATCCCATGACATGCATCAACTGCAAGCATGCGTGGATGGGAGGAAACCACAGATAAGATAGATCAAGGCCTCCTTAAACACAAAATATACCCAACTGTAGGATGACCTAAGGAATAAGTAATATTCATTAGGAGGCCCTAGATATAATGTACTAGGGCTTCAGTGGCAGGCTCCAGTGGCCCAGGGCCAATGCTTCAGAGTCCTCCTTTGCAGAGGCCTTCTGTGGCTCACCTCTTCACAGATGGCCCCAGTGATGGTCACTGGGAAGATGCGTACGGTGCCACGCCCCAGATTCTCCCGCTTCCGTTGCTGGCTGAAGGCTCTGAGCTCTTTCTTCTCCTCCTCTTCCAGAGCTGTGCAATATTGTGCCTGGAGAGAGGAAGGGGTCTTCCAAAGGTCATCTTTCCTCACCACATTTACTTCTAGGCCTTTGTATAGACAGACTGTACCTCTTGCCTAAAATGCCCAACTCTCACCTCTTCTCCCAATGCCCAGTTGTGGGTATGCCAAAGAATGTTTCTTGGTGGCCCTTTCCTGTCCAAATCTCTCATCTTGGCCCAGCTCCTTTCCTCCTGTGACCTTGTTTTGCTTATTTCTTTCCAGCTGCTCAGCATGTGCCCAGGCTGTGCCCTGGACTTGGCATTCCCTTCCTGTCTTCTCTCCTTACCTCACTGTCATGTGGGGGCAGCTGGTGCAGCAGCTGCTTGATCCTGTATTTCTCTCCTGGACTGTTGACATAGGGGACCTTGTCTTCTGGAAGGCAGCTGAAAAACTGGTACACCTGGGAGGATGTGGGGTAGGGTGGGAGAAAATAACTGAGGTTTGGGGTTGTTGTGATACATATGAGAAAATTAGTTATCTGAAGGGAAGTGTCTAAGTCCACCCTCCTTCATGTGTGTGTGTGTGTGTGTGTGCGCGTGCCTGTTGCTTTTGGCTTTACATCACACTTTTTGTTTGTTTTTGAACTGTATTTATTTTTGTCAGTTGTGGGGCTTGAATTCAGGGCCTGGGCGCTGTCCCTCAGATCTTCAGCTCAAGGCTAGCGCTCTACCACTTGAGCCACAGCGCCACTTCTGGCTTTTTTTTTCTGCTTATGTGGTGCTGAGGAATTGAACCCAGGGTCTCATGCATGTGAGGCAAGCACTCTACCACTGAGTCACCTTCCCGGCCCCAACTGTATTTCTTGTCTTTTCTTTTTTTGTTTTGGTACTGGGGATTGAACTCAGGACATTGCACTTGCTAGGTAAGCGCTTTGCCACTGAGCTCCATCCCAGCCCAACCATCACATTCTTGCTCTACCACTTGAGCCACAGATTCACTTTTGGCATTTTGGAAAATTGGAGATAAGAATCTTATGGGGCCAGGTGCTGGTGGCTCACTCCTGTAATCCTAGCTACTCAGGAGGCTGAGATCTGAGAATCCTGATTCAAAGCCAGCCCAGGCAGGAAAGTCGGTGAGACTTTTTTTTTTGGGGGTCCAGTCGTGGGGCCTGAACTCTGGGCCTGGGCACTGTCCCTCAGCTCTTCAGCTCAAGGCTAGTACTCTACCACTTGAGCCACAGCACCACTTCCGGCTTTTTTCTTTTTGCTTATGTGGTGTTGAGGAATCGAACCCAGGGCCTCAAGCATGCAAGGCAAGTGCTCTACTACTGAGCCACCTTCTCAGCCCTCAGTGAGATTCTTATCTCCAATAAACCACCAGAAAACAGGAAGTGGTGTTGTGGCTCAAGTGGTAGAGTGCTCACCTTGAGCTGAATAGCTGGGGGACAGTGCCCAGGCCCAGAGTTCAAGCCTTATGACTTACAAAAAAAAAGAAAAGAAAAGAAAAAAGAATATTATGGATTTGTTTGCCTAGTCTGGCTTTAAACCACAGTCCTCAGCTTGCAAGTTCCTGAGTAGGTAGAATTACAGGCATGAGCCATCAGTGACTATTGGTGAAAACTAGGTGATAGCTAGGAGGGACCCGTTTGTAATACCAAAACAAACAAACAAACAACAAAAACTTTCAAAATAAGTTCAAGGCTGGGAACGTGGCTTATTGGTAGAGTGCTTACCCAGCATGCATGAAGCCCTAGATTTGATTCCTTAGTACCACAAACACAGAAAAAGCCAGAAGTGGTGCTGTGTCTCTGTGCTTGTCTTGGGCAAAAGAAGCTCAGGGACAGTGCCCAGGCCCTGAGTTCAAGCCCCAGGACTGGCAAACAACAACAACAGCAAAAACCCTAACAAATAAGTTCAATATAATAAAGTGAGGCAACTCTGAAGGACCACAAATATTTTAATATTCACAATTAGCATATTATAACATGTAACCACATTTTTAATATGGAAAACAGGCAAGATACAAGGGCCTACATTACTGTTTATCTTGAAACTTAATGAAAATTAGTATATGTGAGTTCAACATAATTGCAGAATCTACATTTACAAGCCTCTGTCTCTGTGTCTGTCTCTGTCTCTCTCACTCCCTCTCCTGGTACTGTGTCTTGAATTAAGAACCTGGGTGCTCTTCTCTTAGCTTCTTTGCTCAAGGCAGGTTATCTACCATTTGAGCCACAGCTCTACTTTCAGCCTTTTGGTGGTTAATTGGAAATAAGAGTCTCAGATTTTGAGCTGGGAATATGGCTTATTGGTAGAGTGCTTGCTTAGCATACATAAAGCCCTGGGTTCGATTCCTCAGTACCACATACACAGAAAAAGCTGAAAGTGGTGCTTTGGCATCAAGTGGTAAAGTGTTAGCCTTGAGCAAAAGAAGCTCAGGGACAGTGCCCAGACCTCAAATTCAAGCCCCAGGACTGGCAAAAATGTTTCCGATTTTTTTTTTTGACTGGCTTGGCTTTGAACTGTGATCCTCAGATCTCAGCTTTCTGAAGGATTGCAGGCATGAACCACCAGTGCCCTGATTTCTTTTCTCCTTCTTTTCACAGTAAAACTCTTTGAAAGTGTAGTGAGCATTCCTATGCACTCTACTTCCTCTCTTCCCATCCTCTCTTGACCCTAGTCTGGTTAGGCTTCTGGCCCCCACCTCTCCTTCCTGCATGGCTGTTAAGGTCATACAGGATATCTACATTGTTAAAATCATTGTTCACATCTTATTCCTCTGTGGACTTGAACATCAGTAGCCTTGAACCTAGTTGGTCACTCCCTCTTCCTGGAAAGTTTCTTCCCTTGGCCTCCATAACTCTGCACAGGCCTGGTTTCCTTCCTTCCTTCCTCATTGGCTGCTCATTCTTTGTCCTTTTAAAAAAATTACTTTACTATTATTATGAAGGTGATATAGAAAGGAATTACAATGACTTGGTAAGCCAAAAGCAGAGAGACAAACAGCACATGGTCTCCCTGATATGCAGATGTTAAATCCAAAAGGCAAGGAGATATAACAAAGTAAACAGGACTCGAGAAACGAAGGACCTCTACTCAATTTGTTGTATCATTTCTAAATGACTCCATGTTCTTGACCACATATATAGTGTGTGTATATATATATATACACATATGAGGGAAGCTAGGAGGAGGACATACAATCAGAGGGAAATGGAGGAAAATATACAACAGAAGGGCCCATTAGCTGCACTGGACATTGATGAAAATGAACTAAGCAACTCAAGGGCAACGATGGGATGGGGGGAATGAAAGAGAAAGAGGGAACAACTATACTAAGCAAAAGGAAAGAAATACATATACCACCTGATGTGGAAGAAATAGCTGTATTGTCAAAGCTCATAGAATTCACAAACATTATAGTCCATGATAATGACAATTTGCCCCATGAAGGTTAAAATGTGTTTGTGACTTTAACTAAGTATCACTGTCTCACAATACTGTGAAATTTATGTAATCACTTAATCTCAATAAAAATTATTAAAAAAATTAAAACATAAAAATAAAAATGTACTGTTATTATGAAGGTTATGTAGAGAGGGATTGCAATGACTTGGTTCTGTGTCCTTTTGATTCCTCAAGTAGCTGACCCTTGAATATGAAAGGTTTCAAAGGCTCAGTCCTTTGCCCTTTTGCCTCTGCATTCACCCTCTTGGAAATTGTATACTACCTCTTGGCTGTAAATAGCATCTGTTGACTAAGGTGTCACGATGCCTATCTCTAGTCTTGAGAGCACTTTCTTGACTTCCAGGCAATGTAGCCCCTTAGATGTTTAACAAGAACCTCAGACTCTTACTTCTCCAGCTTGCTTTTGCTTTTGCCTTTCTCTCTGTGTCTCTTTTTAGTTCTGAGACTGGTACCTGCCACTTTCACTCATTGGCTAGCACTCTACTAACAGAGCCATGCTTCCAACCCCTTGTTTTTCTCATACTAGTGAATCCATCCACTTATTTTTGAGGTCATCTTTACTTTTCTTTCTTTCTTTTTTTTTTTTGGTTGGTCGTGGGGCTTGAACTCTAGGCTTGGGCGCTGACCCTGAGCTCTTCAGCTCAAAGTAAGCGCTCTACCACTTGAGTCACAGAGCCACTTCCAGTTTTCTAGTGGTTTATTGGAGACAAGAGTCTCACGGACTTTCCTGCCTGGGCTGGCTTTGAAATTCGATCCTCAGATCTCAGCCTCCTGAGTAGTGAGGATTACAGGTGTGAGTCATGGGCCCGCTTGAGGACATCTTTTATTCCTCTCTCTCATCCATCAGGAAAACCTCCTAGCTTTGCATTTACTTTTTTTTGTGCCAGTCCTGGGGCTTGAACTCAGGATATAGGCATTGTGTCTGAGCTTGTTTTTTTTTTTTTTTTCTCAAGGCTAGTATTCTACTACTTGAGTCATAGCTGGTTAGTTAATTGGAGACAAGAATCTCAAGGAGGGCTGGGAAGGTGGCTCAGTGGTAGAGCGCTTGCCTTGCATGCATGAGGCCCTGGGTTCAATTCCTCAGCACCACATAAGCAAAAAGAAAAAAGCCGGAAGTGGCACTGTGGCTCAAGTGGTAGAGCGCTAGTCTTGAGCTGAAGAGCTGAGGGACAGCACCCAGGCCCAGAGTTCAGGCCCCATGACCAGACCCCCCCCCCCCCCCAAAAAAAAAAGAATCTCAAGGACTTTTTTGTCCTAGCTGGCTTTGAACTGCAATCTTCAGATCTCAGTTTCCTGAGCAGTTAAGATTATAAGTGTGAGCTACTGGCACCTGACCTGCATTTTACATTTTTTTTGTCAGTCAAGTGGCTTGAACTCAGTGCCTGGACGCTGGCCCTGAGCTCTTTTGCTCAAAACTACTGCTCTACTTTGAACCACAGTCCCACCGAAGTTTATTTTTTGAGACAAGTTCTTGCTGTATGGTCCAAGCTGGCCTTCAACTCACAATCTTCCTACCTCTGTTGGGATGATAGGTATTGGGAAGATTTTTAAAGTAAGGTTAAATGCTGGCTGTGGGCATGCACCTATAAACTCAGCATGTAAGAGGCTTAAGGCAAGAGGATTGTGAGTTTGAGGCCAACCTAGGTACATAACAAGTTTCAGGCCAGCCAGGGACCACCAAGTGAGACATGTCTCAAAACAAAATAAGGGCTGGAAAGGTGGCTCAGTGGTAGAGCGCTTGCCTTGCATGCATGAGGCCCTGGGTTCAATTCCTCAGCACTACATAAGCAAAAAGAAAAAAACCGGAAGTGGCACTGTGGCTCAAGTGGTAGAGCGCTAGCCTTGAGCTGAAGAGCTGAGGAACAGCGTCTAGGCCCAGAGTTCAGGCCCCATGACCGGACCAAAAAATAAAAAATAAATAAAAAAATAAAACAAGAAAGAAAAATTAAAGCAAAAAAAAAAAAAAAAAAACCCAACCAAATTCAAAAATTCC